CGGGTAATTTCAAGACGTTAGAAGACTGTTTGGGGTAGCCAGCGGGTAAAAGGGGGAACCGCTCACCCCCCAGTACTCGCTCCCCTCACAACCTCACAACCTCCAGCCTGCAAGCCTGTTGCACCCGTTTTTTCAAGCTTCCGGCTTAGTTCGTGTGCTAATTTGCTTCAATCCCCGAGGGTTGACCCGGATTTTGCAATTAAGCAGTCAAACCAGACTGTAAAATGAATGCCGTCAGCTATCATCCGCCTGTCTCCTGTCATCCCCCTGCTCCCCCGTGCTGTGTGCAGTTACACGTCTTCCAGTCAGCCATTCCGTGGGTTAAGCCATCACCCAACCCAGCTTTCAACCCCAGCTGAGAAGAAAGTAAGCCCCAGAAAAAGTAACCCCAATTTCCCTAAAGTATTGTCTGTACTCTTTTCCCCCAGTTGGATCTAACGTGGTTTTCACCATTTTTCCCCTGAATCCCTTTACAAATATTACCCTGCTCACACTCCAACGATCGTCAGGTCCCAAGACCCTTCGCTCCCTTCACTCCTATCTAAAAACCTCACGCCCTTTCGGAACCCAAACCCCTTTTCCCCCCAAAACCTTTTTCCCACCCTCCCAACCCTTTTTGGGACGAAACCCCCACCCCCCTTTCCCTTCCCCCATAGATTTATATGTTTTTCCCTGTCATCTACTTTGATCCTTCTCTCTAAAAGACCCCCCACCCCAACAACCCCCTTCTGCCCCCTTTTATAATACTTTTTTTAACTCCACACCTTTTTCCCCAATTTCCACACACCGAATTTTCTGATAAATTTACCCCACACTTTGCCCTTAAACAGGCATCTCCACTGCCTCCAACCGCTCCTCGCTGCTGCATTTACCACCCAAGCTTCACACCCATATAAGAGTGTTGGTACTACTATACTTTCATACATTCCCTTCTTTGCCTCCATAGATAACGTTTTTTGACTCCACATATACCTCAACGCACCACTCACCTTTTTTCCCCTCATCAATTCTATGATTAACCTCATCCTTCATAAATCCATCCGCCGACACGTCAACTCCCAAGTACTATTTTACTCCACATAATCCTTGAATTAATACATTTATAGTCCCTCTTTTCCTGCCATAACTTATCCTTCAACATTATTGCTACTCCTTTAGCTCTGACTATTTGTAACCCCTGACCTAATCCCATTTATTCCTCTCCACTGAAACTCTCCCATCCCCTTCAGCTTAGTTTCACTTAAAGCCAGAACATCCAGCTTCTTCTCATTCATAACATCCACAATCATCTCTTTCGTATCATTTGCACAACATCCACGCACATTCAGACTTCCCACTTTGACAATTTTCTTCTTATTCTTTTTAGTAATTACAGGAAAAGGGGTTACTAGCCCATTGTTCCCGGCATTTTTAGTTGACTTTTACAACACGCATGGCTTACGGAGGAAAGATTCTTATTCCACTTCCCCATGGAGAGAGAGAGAGATAGATAGATAGATAGATATGCATGCTTACCTAATCACCTAGGTGCAGTTGTCTCCCTTGAGACAACTGGGAAGCTACACACTGCACAGCGCCTCTACCACTTCAAACATTTTTGGAAATATTCTTTCCTAGTGGCATATAACAATGCCTGCAATTTTGATCAAATCTCCTCCACACTGTTAAATCACTGCCCTTTGAATACCATTTCTATTTTTGGTAAGAAAAGTCACAAGGAAGTGGAGAAGCTAGATCTGGGAAGCAGGAAGGGTGGGGATGACTGCCATGTTTATGGCCTAAACACTCAACAATGTGCCACGTGAACAGGGGCATTTTTATGGTAAATAAACCAATCAATGAAGGCCCACAATGCTAGATGTTTCCTTCTCGCATCTTTCCTTAACCCTTTCAGGGTCCAGAAGCCAAATTTCAAAGTGCGCACCAGGGTCCAAGAATTTAAAAAAAAAAAAAAAAAAAAAAAAAAAATATTATTTTTTCTTATGAAATGGTAGAGAATCTTTTTCTGAAGGTAATAAAACAAAAAATACAAAATTTGATGGAAAAATTTACGAAATTATGCTCTCGCGAATTTTGTTGTGTCAGCGCTATTTACGAATCGGCAATTTTGCCGACTTTGACTCCCACTTTAGGCCAATTACATTATTCCAGTCAACCAAATTCTTAGCTATTTCACTAGTATTACTTCTATTCTATCGATTGAGCACAATAAATTGCCCAGTCAACTGTTTCAACTACAAAATAAAGTGATCGGAAATTGGTAATTTGGCCAATTTAACACAGTTCAAAATATTCCAATTTCAAAATAGGGTCCAGAATAAACAATGCAGACATTCCTGGCACTAAACTAACATTTCCTCTGTTTATCAGTTACGTTTTGAGGCTTTACAAATGAATTCCATTTTGATTTTTTATTCACAATGAATTTTTATTCAAACCAAAAAATAGAAGATTTACTGTTATGCAATATTGTAATAATTGTATAAATATCATCACCACATATGTGAATGTATATTAGACCCACCAGCTGGCGTGTATTAGACATATGAGGTCGTTTGTTCACTCTTGAACATCAACAAAAATTTAACATTTCTGCTACCTTGAGCTCAGTTTCAAGCCATTTCCAGTGCTAAAACCAATCAAAATCATCTCTATTTCTGTAATATATCTTCCATTCTATCAAATGAGACCAAGAAATCGCAAATACAACTATAAAAAACATACGAAAAAACACTGCAAATTCGCTGTTTTAATAAAAAATCACGGTCTCAGTTTTTCTCTCGTTATACACTGTGTGCTGCAGGATTTGTTTTATGTAGTGCACACATACCACATAGATGTATTCTCTCATATCTAGGCCCAAATTTACCACTCACAGCTTATTAGTGAGCTGAGCTCATGGCGTAGATCTACGGTTAGGACCCTGAACATAAAGCCGTAGATGTATGGCACAGACCCTGAAAGAGTTAAATATCTCAGAACCTCGATATAAAAAGTGATGAAAATCAGATTGAAGAACCTCCTCATCTTGCACTCCATAGGGTAGGATTTTTTTTATACTATGCACACTCACCGCACAGACCCATTCTCTAATATCTAGGACAATATTTACTGCTTACAGCACATCTGAGTGTGCCGAGCTCATGATGTAAAACTACCTGAGGGAGCCTGACCTTATTGGTGCAGTTGGTGCAGTTCTACATGATAGCCACTGAAAAAGTTAATACTAAGTATTCCAGTATATATAAAACACACGTGGGATGCGTCCTAAACGAATCACGCAAGGCAAGTGTTTTATTGTGAGCCGAGGCAAAATTTTTGCGTTCAAATGCTTCGTATGGTGGATTTAACGTAATGCGATGCGTTCGTAAGGCGGGGGTCCACTGTATAGGTATCCGACTAAAACTTGAGTATCAATCGTGGCAAAGATTTTGGTACCATCCCATCACCACCATCATATTTCACTGCCTTTGTCTTTTCTGTGGCATTTGTGTTTATATGAACTATCTTTGCTCTGAATAAATTTTTTGTTTACCAGTATTTTGCATCACTGCCTCACCAGTGCTAATAATCTGCACGTTTCTATACTTTCACTTGCTATGTAATGTCTTTACTTCCCTTTCTCACTTTACAGACATTTGGTGGGAATGTTGCTGTTTGGGGGAGTCATGTAAACTGTGATCTCAACATGCTTCTGGCAAGACGGTAATTGAATGAGCAATGGTTAATGTTTTTCTTTAGGTCACCCTACCTCTATGGGAGATAGCTGGTTTGCTAAAAAAAATTGATAAATTAGACACATGTGCAACTCTTGGGTATCTTTATTGAGGAAACGTTTCGCCACACAGTGGCTTCATCAGTCCATACGTAGGAGAAACTTGAAGAACAGGAGGAGAATGAGGTAATCAGTCCCTCAACCTTGAGTCGATGTGTTCAGTCCATCAATCTTGAATAGAATACGGCATATCAGTGGAGAAGCAGCTTATAAACCGTTTGGCTTGCCTAATTCTTGGGCACGACCTACTTCCACATTGAACAAATGTGACACGACCCATGACTGCTGCACCTCTCCTGCCAAACGGTTTATAAGCTGCTTCTCCACTGATATGCCGTATTCTATTCAAGATTGATGGACTGAACACATCGACTCAAGGTTGAGGGACTGATTACCTCATTCTCCTCCTGTTCTTCAAGTTTCTCCTACGTATGGACTGATGAAGCCACTGTGTGGCGAAACGTTTCCTCAATAAAGATACCCAAGAGTTGCACATGTGTCTAATTTATCAACATGTCGGTTCTCTGAACCATTCATCTAAAAAAAATTATTCAATATATTATACTTTCCCAAAATTCTTTACTTAACCTACAAACCCATTGCTAGTATTTATACTTGCACAAGCTACGTGAAACTGGTCTTTGCATATCACACATCATTGCATATTTAAATTTTTTTATGCCAGTTTTATTCATGGTTAATATCCTGACAGCTATTTAGGCTTAGTGCATCTTAAAAAAAAATTTCCTAATAAACTTTCACTGTCTTATCAGCTCATAAGTGGATTTTGCATAAATGTTTTTATACAAGAAAGCCCTTTTACACAGTTTTACAAGGTAAAGTTTATACCTGGAGTTTACCTGGAGAGAGTTCCGGGGGTCAACGCCCCCGCGGCCCGGTCTGTGACCAGGCCTCCTATAGGGTACACAGTCTAAATAGCTGTCAGAATATCAACCATGAATAGAACCTGCACAAAAAAATTTAAACATACCATAATTTCAAGTAGTCTATTCTGGAAAAAACATCACTTCTAGCAATGGGTTTGTAGGTAGGTAAAGAACATTGGGAAGGTATAACATCCATGTTGGTAGTCTTATACCAGTTAGTCTTAGTGATTATACGTACTTTAATTTGATTAACCATTATGACTGCCCATCAATAATCAAATACAATTAAAAATGGTGCACTAAAATGACAATTACTCCCTATTATAATCTCAACTCACCTGGCTTTATATCTCTGTGAATGAAGTTCTTGTTATGTATAAACTCTATGCGACCAATCATCTGGTCTGCAAGCATGAGAACGGTTTTCATAGTGAAGCGACGACTGCAGAAGTTGAAGAGATCTTCTAAGGAAGGCCCCAGTAAATCCATTACCAAAATGTTGTACTGCTGTTCTTGACCAAACCATCTACAAAAACAATATGCCAGTGGTTAAACAATTTGTATATGAAGTGTTTGGCAGACATAGAGAGCTTTTGCCACTCCTTGCACTTTTGACCCTCAGGTTTAGGAAGTTGCAGAAAATAAACAAACAAGATTAATACATGGGGACCAAGAATTCATACTTCACAATGGCTAAAATTTAGTAAAAATTCATAAAATTACCAATACAGTGGAGCCTCCACTAACGAGTTTAATCCGTCCCGTGACCTTGCTCGCATCTGCATTTGCTCGTTTGCAGAGTCAATTTTCCTTATTTAAATTAACTGAAATCGAATTAATTTGTTCCAGTGGAATTCCAGGCACCATAAAATACTTCAATTATTTCCCTAATATCAACTACAGCTTATTTATCCATCACAATTCATCTGACATAATAAACAATACAAATAACAGAAACCCGATATATACTCTAGAATGAATAAAATATGCCATTATATATGTGGCGGCATCAGTGGCCGACTGAGAGTGTCTGGAGACAGGACAAAATACTCCCTGAATATTTCACTATCAACTCTTGGGTTTATTTATCACAATTCATCTATTATGACATAATAAACAATATAAATGAAATAGAAACCTGATATATACTCTAGAATGAATAAAATGTGCTATTATGTGACAGGTGGAGAGGGCCATAACCGCTCCAGCATTGTTGTGGTAAACACTGCCATCTAGTGACAGCCTTTTGAAGCCATCTATTATTATAATTATATAGTACGTTATTATACATGTATTATACGTATATTATTATTATTAATAACAAAAAACTGCACAATACCGTGACTGGAACAATACACAGATAACCCGCACATAGAAGAGAGGAGCTTACGACTACGTTTTGGTCCGACTTGGACCATTTACAAAGTCACACATTTACAAAGTCACAACGTGACTTTGTAAATGGTCAAAGTCGGACCGAAACGTCGTCGTAAGCTCCTCTCTTCTATGTGCGGGTTATTTGTGTATTATTATATTATACTATTATTATATGCAGTATTATTATCGTTATTACAATATAAATACTAGGTGTAATTTGGAATTTGCAGTTTAAAAACTGTAGTGTAAAGCACCCTTCTGGCAAGACAGTGATGGAGTGAATGGTGAAAGTTTCTTTTTCAGGCCACCCTGCCTTGGTGGGAATCGAAAAATTTGGAATTTTTATTCACACAAAAAATAGAAGATTTACTGTTATGCAGACTACTGCATTAGTGTAGAAATGGTATAAATAATATCAGTGTACTTGTGAAAGAATATTAGACTCACCAGTTGATGTGTATTGGACACATGCATGATTTGTTTGCTTTTGAATTTTGGCAAAAATCAAACATTTCTGCTTCTTTGAGTTCAATTTCAAGGTACTTTTCATTGTGAAACCAGTCAAAATCACCTCAATTTCTGTAATATGTCTTCCATTCTATAAAATGAGACCAGGAAAACTAGAATACAACCATAAATACCATACAAAAATACAGTGCAAAGTCGCTGTTTTAAACCAAAAACACGGTCAAAGTTTTTTTTCCTCTCATTATGCACTGTGCTGCAGGATTTCTTTTTTTATACTGCGCACAACGACCACACAGACCCATTCTTTCATATGTAGGCCTATCAGCTTTCTCTTAATAGATTTGAAGGCACTAGAATTTAGGCATACTAGTATGTCAATAACCCTGGTGCGTAAGCCGTACTAGTACGTGGGAAACCCTGAAAGGGTTAACATCGGCAAAAATAGAACATTTCTGCTACTTTGAGCTCATTTTCACGGTACTTCTCGTCATGAAACCATTCAAACTCTATCTATTTCTGTAACATATCTTCCATGCTATCAAATAAGACTAAAAAAAACGAGGATAAAACCATGAAAATCATACGAAAATACCGCTAAGGGGCAGCTAATTACCAAGAAGTAAACTCCATTATTTATGGTCCGATTTCTTTCATTTTTGGTGTACGTTAAGAAACATCTTTCCATCGTACATTGCCCAAGTTTCAACAAGATAGCCTAACAAACAAATGAGATCCAATTCCCTAGATCAAGAGCAAGAGCCCTTCACAAGTGCCAAGGAACCTCCTTTAAGGCCTGCTCGCTCATGGAAATTTCGCTCTCACATGGAGGCAAAAGATTGACTGCTCGTATTTGGAAGAGCGAGCACATGGATGCGCTCGCAAGTGGAGGTTCCACTGTATATGTTGAATTATTTAAAGTATACCTTCGATATAACTTTGATTAGTTCCAAGAGATTTTCTACTCCTGGAGCCTGGCCACAGGCCAAGCTTGGTGCATGCCTGGTCAACCAGGCTGTTGCTGCTGGTGGTCCACCAACCCACATATCCATCACAGCTTGGTTGATATCGCACAAAAGTGAGAAATAAACTAAATATAAATAAACTGCATCAGGGTAATTGAGAGTTACTGCTGTCACCAATTATACAATTACATTAATCTTAAATTGCAAACCCAACAAAATATTTAAAGAATTTACAAAACTATCAAATGACAAGAGAACTTTAGATTTCCAAAACTATAACATGATTAAAGCAATCAGTATGGAATAAATGAGCATGAGAAAACATTAGGCTGGCTAGTAACTTGATGGGTGATCACATGGATGCAGCTCGACCCATTGCTAAGAGATAGCCAGTGTTTTTCTGTTCTAAATATGGTACAATATACCCATCTGATGAACAAGACATGTAACCCACTTTGAAGTCTTTATTGGTGGAACATTTCTCTTACACAGCAAGCTTTGTCAGTCAAATGCAGACATAACTTTTATACCTGGAGACTATCCATCCTGCATGATGGATAATATAATCAAAGCACTAAACCTGAAAGGGTCCCTATGTGATGGCATATGACAAGGAACCATAACTAGCTTTTGTTCAAACTAATTATCATACAGAATAGGGTAGCAGCACACTTGTGTATCCAATTTAGTTAAGAAAATACAGTGGTACCCCTAGTTTCGAACTTATTTCATTCCAGAATGCTGTTAGAGTGCCAATACCGAATGAATCTGTTCCCATAAGGAATAATGTAAATTAGATTAGTCCATTTCAGACTACGAAAAATACACTTACAAACACACTTACAGAAATACACTTACATAATTGTTCAAGTTGGGAGCAGTTCAAAACTCTGGGTACCACTGTATTGAACAAATACTGCAGTACCGAAACAGTTGGTAAACACTTGTTTTTGCCTAATTTTAAAACCTTATACAATTTAAGACACACATCAAATTCACACAAAATTAAGCTGGCAATATGAATCCTCAACCCTCACTTCATGCAATGCAACTGCTGTTAATATTATATCTTAATAGCTCCTGAGGCCATTGCTCCTATGGCCTGTTCACATACAAAACCACCTAAATTGAACAAGAACAAAATTTCTTAAAAGGATAAAAACTATTAAAAAGTACAGGAATGTAGTATGTAATGAATGCAAGTGCAAGTTTGCAATACTTAACCCTTTGAGGGTCCGTCCCCCAATTCTATGGCTTTGAAGCCAGGGTCCAAGCTGTAGCACTACAACATAAGCTCAGCTTACTCAGATAAGCTGCGAGTAGTAAACTTGGGCCTCAATAAGAGAGAATACATCAATGTGGTAAGTGCACAAAATAAAAAAAAAAAAAAACTACAGCAAGCAGTGCATAATGAGGAAAAACAAAAACCATGTTTTTGGATTAAAACAGCAACTTTGTGGTGTATTTTCATATGGTTTCTATGGCTGTATTTGCGGTTTCTTGGTCTCATTTGAAAGACAGAAAGATAATTTTGACTGGTTTTTGTACTGAAAATAGCTTGAAATTGAGCTCAACATAGCGGAAATGTTCAATTTTTGCTGATATTCAAAGGTAAACAAATCACATCACGCATTCAATACATGTAGCTGGTGGGTATAATGAGCATTCACAAATGCACTGACATTAGTATTTATACAATTATTACAATATTGTATAACAGTAAATCTTCTATTTTTTGGTGTGAATATCAAAATGGAATTCATCTGTAAAGCCTACAAAGATAATTAATAAACAGAAGAAATGTTATTTTAGTGCCAGGAATGCCTGCATTATTTATTCCAAACCCTACTTTGAAATTGGAATACTATTCTGAATTGTGTGAAATTGGCCAAATTACCAATTTCCTATCACTTTATTGGGCAGTTGAAATAGTTGACTGGGCAATTTCTTGTGCTCAATAGATAAAATGGAGCACAGTAAAATGCCCAAGAATTTGGTCTAACGTGTAAATATTGCCGACAGCAAAATTCGCAAAAGAGTTTTTTTGTCAATTTTTTTATCAAATTTCGTACTTTTTGTTTTATTACCTTCAGAAAAAGATTTTCTACCATTTCACAATATTTTTTTTTTTTTTTTTTAATTCTTGGACCCTGTGGGAATTTTAAGATTGGTGGTCTGAAAACATCAGCAGGACTTGCCAGTGTAAAGGTTTAAAAGCTTCTGTTTTGCACTCAAATGACAGAACCTCTCTGGATTGTTGCTGTGCTGTCTACCAACTACCGCATTCATAAAAAAAATACCTGCCTCTTAACATAATTGTGCCTCGAACACCTTCAATGCCTCTTATGAAGATCTAAGATATTGATGCCAACGTCACTCACACTGATCCACATTTTAAGCACAGCACCCTCAAATGTACTGCAAATGATAAATTTTGGCCTAGACACGAGAAAATGGGTCTGTGTGGAGTGTGTGCCGTATAAACAAAAATCCTGCCCCCATACAGTGCATGATGGGGCAAACAAATCTGACTGTTTGCTTTAAAAGAGCAACTTGGGGAGTTCAAACTGATCGTAGGAAACAACTGTTTCTTAGGATCAATTGATAGAATGGAAGACCTGTAAGTGAAGCAGGTCTCTAATTAGCAGAAATATTCAATTTTTGGCAATTTTGCCTGAGAAGGGTAGGGTCCCTACACCCCATTCCCCTTTCTGGTCTG